ACTCCTTCCCTTTCCCTCTGACTCAGGAGAGCCTCCCAGCATGCCAAAGAGCGCAATTATTATAGAGCCCTGAACCTTCCGTGATGCTTCTTTAATTTGTGAGTTCACAATCATCTGTAAAAATTTGTTTTCATAACTATAGTTGAAAGTCAGTCCCTCTCTCGTAGATCTCTAGAAGGTGACTATAATCAAGCCCCAATCATTTCACACTCTCTTACAGAGTAAACCTCTATTTCTTTTAAACTCTTCTGTTTTTCCACTTTGAATGGGTGACATTGGACAGCAAGCCACATGTGCCATAAACACCCACCTGAGTGTACCTGGGAGTGGATGCTGTATGCATTGAGAATAACTGCTTCCAACAGAGAGTTCAGAAAGATCAGACTGAGATCTGAGAGAGCCTTGCTTGGAAGGGACATTCAGTTGCACATCTTTGACATCAAGAGACAAAGTACCAAACTGCCAGACTCTCTGTTCTAGAAGAAGCAAAAATCCAGACCTGCAGCCTCTGTTCTGACCTGGGCCAAGTATGACGTGGCCACATTAGTTGTAACCCTGCAACAGCAAGGATTAGTAGTGAGCTCTCCCTTAGCCGACAAGAAACAAGAAGAGACACTTGTTTCCAGGAACGCATGTTTGCATCATTATTGTTTCTCCTGCAAATGACTTGAGAGCTAGAAGGCATGCCAGCATCGTTCTCTCCCAGACTTCCCAATCTGTTTTCATTATTCACCAGCCCAGCACCTCATTTCGACTGAGGCACAATAGCAAGAGATGCAGAAAGGAAAATTAATATTTTCTACATGGACTTCCTCATCTTGAGTAGATTTATGAATTTTATTTCTGTTGTGCAGCAGGTAGCCTTTTAACCATGGGGGGAAGAATCTTTCATGGTTTTTTTATTGCCTCAAGAGCACCAAAGACATCTTGTGCCATGTTGTCATTTACATTTCACATTAAATTCAAAATATGTTTGAAATGAGCAAATATTTGTTTTAATTTGATCCATCTGTTAAATGAAATACTAAAAAGACAGCTAAATCACTATATTAAATTCAGCGATTTGTAAACAATTTATATGTTCATTTGTTCTGGGTTAAAAATGCCCCAAAGCACAAGTTTTATGAAACCCACAAAGGAAATTGCATTGTATTAATCTGATGGATGCAGGCCATGATTTCTTCCTCTTCACTCCATTAATTTATTTCCTAACTTGAGTTAATTAGTGAGGTTCCTATTTTTAAAAGCTCTTTGACATTCCTTGGGAGATGGGGGCATTGGCAAGAACTGCTTTGAAAACTTACTGCAGAGGAAATGGGCTCAATACAAACGGTAAATTCCCCAAAGACATTATCGCACACTGAGCACCTGATTGCCATTCAGCACTCTGTATGCCAGGAACACAGTGGGTTATTAATATATAGTTATTATAGGGGAGAGGGAAAGAGCTAGAAGGAGAGAATGGGCGCCGAAGCTTAGAAGGAGAGAATGGGAGCAGAAGCGAGAGCAGACTCATACCAGGCGATTACTAATAGGATAAAATGATCCCCACAGTCCTATCCATCTCTGAATAAAAGTCTGTGGCATTCTGATGTTCTGCCGCAGAATGGAGACTGCCTGGAAGTACCCACCGGGCATAGGGAGACATGCACCCAGACAAACACAAAGCACAAAGTACTCGGTCAAGTAGAGATGGACTTAAATCAATTGTTTTTTGTTGTTGTTGTTGTTTGTTTGTTTTGCCTTTTGTCAAAGGCAGCATTAATTCCTAAAATAGACTGGTAGGAGTTGAAGACCATTTCTTAATTTGTGTCCATGTGCTAATTCTTTTTCTATTTTAAGTATATTTATTTCCTGGGAGAAAGAGGCAAGAGAGACAGGTCACCCCAGCAGTTTTCACAGCGTGATCCACCTGGTCTCGGCCAGTTCAGATCCTAGGCACGCACACTCACCCAGAGTGCTCAGCGAGGTTCCCAGACTTAAGCCCAGAACCTTCCCCATGTGGTTCCAGCTGCAATACTGCCATGCCACTGCCTGACGCTTACCCCCTAATTCTTACCTACTCAGGCCAGTGCCCTGTACTAAAATTTTAAAAAGGGGGAGGGTTCAATTTACACTAAAATATTAACTACAGCGAACAGTTTAACTTAAGAATATGGAAAAAAAGAGAATTAGCCTTTCAACAAATGTCCAAGCTTTAAGCGCGTGTGAAGTCCATTTCTTCAAGGAATACTTTGGGGAAAAGACAGTGGGAGGCAGAGACTGAGCTGGAGTGGGTGCCCTGCCTAAGTCCCAGATGACCTTCTCTGCCACCACTCCCTGATCCAACTTTTAAAAAGCCTGACCATTGGAGACAGCAGCACTGGGCTAACCCAGGTGGCACCTGCCTTGTCATTGTCCTGGCTGATTTCACTTTCCCTTCACCACAGACCTGCGATACACATGCGCAGGCACCCATTTCCTGGCCGAGAAGCATGGTGACAATCTTGCAGCTGCACTTATGTGATTTAGAACTAGATCTTCTCTTTCCTAAGCCTCAAATCCCTCATCTGGATAATCGAAAAATAAATCACCCAGCACAGCTTCCGTCACAGAGTAGGCATCCTTCTACTCTAAGTCTCTCATCTCATTTTGCACAGACACAGATGAAAGTCAAGTCAGCAGGACTGAGACAAACCTAAGTCTTCCCACCTCTCTTCAAAGGCCTTCCCATTTTCTTCCAGTCTAACTTCTGACCCTGGAACCTGTTACGCAAGTTTCCTACACCAAAACAAACAGTACCCTGATTTATTCCTTCCTGACTGGGAAGGGAGGGGTGGGAGAAGGTAAGCATTTGTTATATCAACTCCCCCTTGACTTGCACTCAAAATGCAATCTTTTTCTTGTTGTGCTAAGAAACATTTTTAAGGCCCTTTGCTCATATATTTCATCTGTCTCTGAATGTCCAGAGGGCAGCAGCCAGGCCCCTCCTCTGAAGGCATTGGGGCCTACAAAACACCTTGGGCTCCTTTTAAATGCAGAGATGTCCTCCAATTATAATTTTGTATCATAACAGAAGTTTGGAAAACAAACAGTTGCTCTACATGGGAATTGGATATTCAAATTCCTATGAGCCTATGAAGCTGCATTTTCTGGATCAGACAAGCAGGCTGTCCTACCACGTTCTTCTGCCCCAGGGAAGGAACAGACCCACCCCCACTGCTGGAGACAGCATGTTTGAGTTTTTTAAGATGTAGTAAGAGATCACTTTAGGAAATAAAATAGCAGCCTGGAGAATGTGTGTTCCTGACAGCCTAGCTTCTACAAAGAAAGAGGAAAATAAGAATACAATCCAATTGCTAGATAAGAACACCGGCCTTATCTCTGCAGAACATGGTCTTTTCCAAAGGACTTTCACCTCTCCTGTGTTACCTAATGCGCCCCTCATATTTCCCAACATTCTGATTCCATTTTACCCAAGGTATTTGTGACTTGCCCAAGCTCAGAGAGATGAGATTCTGGAGTGACAGTCACACCTTCTGACCCCTCTTTCTACTGTAATCACCACAATTCCTGGGAACATAGAGAAGAAACATGAGACCCAGATCAATGCCCTCATTCTGCCGAGTCCTCAGTCTTTATAAACCCAATTTACCCACTTAAGACACGACTTCCCGTGGAAAGGACCACAGGCAGTCGCTGAGGGCGAGGGTAGGGAGCTGCTCTTAGGTGGGCGTCCGCCCAGGACTTACTCAGGAAAATGATGGTCTGCCTCCTGGCAGTCCTGCTCTCCTCGCTCTCGCACTTTCTCAGCTGCGGCTGCCGGGGGCTCCCAGCCAGCTTGCCCTGCTTGCTCCCGGTGAGCACTTGCATCATGTTCCAGCACATAAAGGCCACAGAGAGCAGGACCACGATGTAGATGACGAAGGCGCCGAAGATGCTGGACTGAAAAACGGTCCAGAAGCTGGAGAGGTTAGTGCAGATGGACATGTTGGAGGTCTCGGGGTGCTCATGGTGGCGAGTGCGGGAGCGGTTGCAAGTGAGACCCCGGTGACTGGGCACACTCACCAGGGGGTACTCAATACCCATGGCAAAAAGTAAGGGTAATGCCACTAGGGCGGAGGTGACCCAGACGAAGCCAATCAGCAGCTTCACCTGGCGGGGTCCCGACATGGCCTTATACCTGAAGGGGTGACAGATGGCAACATAGCGCTCAAAGCTGAGCGTCAGCACATGCAACAGCGTGGCGTAGCTGCATGCCTCAAAGAGGAAAGAGTTTTTTTAAGCTTGCAGGACAGGGCATAGCTGGGTGTGGTCAGAGGGCTCCAGATGATGCTGTAGAACTCCATGGGCATGCCAATGAGAAAGACCAGGATATCCGAGCAAGCCAAGCTCACCATGTGATCCGCCACCTCCTTCTGCAAGTAGCCTTTCTTCTGTAGCACCCAGGTGACCCGAATGGTGACGCTATTTCCCACGATGCCCACCACAAAGATGATCAAGTATATTAGGGTGAGGGTGATTTTGATCCACATGGCCACCTCAAACTCAGGGACATGACTGTGATCGATGACATGGGAGCAGTCACTGCCCGGGTTACTGGGTGAAGTCATGAGGAAGACAGCCTCACCACCAGTCCAAAGCCTCTCCAACTTCTCTTTCTTCCCCCAGTAGAGCCCACCTCTTGGCTGCAACTCACCAGACTGGGCACGGGACTTCTCTCGCTGGCAAGGATAACTTAGTATTTCAGGTGCTTTCAATGAAAACTTCCTGAAACGGCCCAGCCTACGAGAGGCCCCAAGAGGCCTGGGGGTGGGGTTTAGAGTGTGAGCCTATGAAGAGGCGGGGAGAGGGCGGAGGAAGGAGATTCTAATCTTCAGGAGAGAGTAGGAGTGAAACCCACAGTCCCCCTCTCCCTCGCGACCCCCTTTCTCTCCCAGACCTGGGTGCACCGTCCGCCTTGCAGCCCTCTGCACCCCTTCCAGCTGTCTGGCACTTGGGGCCAGAACCACCCTGGGAGCAATCTCTGGAGCTGCAGGAAGGCGGGGTCGTCAGCGATCAATCATTAACCGCGGCAGACTGTGCTCGGCCGCCGGGAGTTAGAGCCAGCCCTGTGACTGAGCACGTCGGCACTATCTCCAGAATCAGAACTTGGCTCCAAAACACTCGGCCACGAGTGGCCCCATCTCCCCCATGACCGCCAGTCTTCGCTGCCTGTCCAGACCAGCGTCCCAGGAAGTGCAGCTGGAAGGAGCTGGAGTACGCTGCGGGCTTAATGTCCCCTCTCCTGCCCTGCCTCCACTCCCAGCTGTCCTGGGGCCCTTCAAAGGTTGGGACTCCGCCAATTTGGAGTGCTTGACCTGAATGCCCGCCTTCGCATTCGCGTTGGCTATCGGCCGGGACGCCCTGGAAGATCCGCAAGCGCTCGCCTCCTTGGTACTCTGCTTTGGGGGCACTTGGGGTGTCTGCGGTGAGTGGGCGTTGCGCCGCCTTGACGCGCTGCCCCAGGAAGGTGACCCCAAGGGGCTAATAGGATCTCTAATCGAAGCCTCCCGGTGCTCTGCGCAGCACCCGGCGTCGCCTTCCTGCCAAGGACCGGTCCGCAGGTCCCTCCTTTCAGTTTCACTCTAGGGTGCAGGCGGCTCTGCCGCTGTTGGGGTTTTTAACTGGAGAAATGTATATTGATGAGGATGGCACAGCCTGCCTGGGTGCTGCGGGAGGGAAGCGCGGCAGCGGGCGGAAGTTGTGCCCAGGGCGTCGAAGACAGCAGGATATTTACAAGCTGAAGGGGCTGCTGGGCAGTAAAGGGCATCACGAACATTTCCCGCGCTGACGAGAGAGAAGATCTCTAATGGACTCATTTTCGTCTTCTGGTTCCTAAATCCGAGGGAGGCGCTGAGGAAGAGGGAGGCTGTCTCGCATAGTAGGATGTTTAGCACCCCTACACACGCGCGCGCGCACACACCCGCGCACGCACACACACTAGTGACGGCCAGAATGTCTCCAGACATTGCCATGTGTCCTCTGTGGGGGAAGGGTCACAAAACTGCCCTAAATCTGAGAACTACTGCCCAAAAGGAAGAAAATAGATACCTTTACCCATTTTATCCTTGGGCTTCCCACAGACCCTATGAAGACTCCTCTTTAAATTATGATCATTTTTTTAAAGGTTTTTGCTATAGGGAGCGTGTGCTCCCGGAAAGAGATAGAGAGAGACATGCTGCACTCCCTTCTCCATGCACACTGGGTGATTTTCAAGCTGCCCGATCAGGACTCAAACCCTGGTGGGTCATTTGCAAGTACAATGCCTTAACCACTATGCCTCCCGCTGGCCTCCAGAACCAATCGTTTGAAAGATGAAGAAATTCGGCTGTCCTTAGGTTAGGTGCTTCTCTAAGACCATAAGAGTGAGAGCAATCTGAAAAAAGTAGAACATACAGAAACATGGTAGAAAGGTAGTTCCCAAGGGGAGGGAAGGAGGAAACAGAGATTTAGGTCAAAGGGTACAGCATTGCAGTTAAGTAAAATAAATAAGTCAAGAGAGCTAACAGCAGAAAGACTGTAGTTATAATATGTAGATCAAAAATTTGCTAAGAGATTGGGGGGGTATGTCTTCAAAAAGTTCACAGAAAATATATATAGAAAAAAATTATGCATAGATTTCTATTTTTTGCACCATATGAACTCATAATTTAATTTTACATTTCTACACACTTTTTGAAGTCCCCTCCTATTTTAAGGTGTAGCACACACAAATGGGAAAAGGTCACTCTGGACAATGACTGACACATTAATTTGCTTTACTATAATAGCCATTTCACTATGGATAAGTGTACCAAAACATCAGGCTTTTTAAATAATTATTTTTAATTTAATTTTATTTATTTATTATTATTATTTTACTGTGACCAGAGAGAGACACACACAGAGAGAGCCAGGTTCGGGACTTGAACTAGTGTTAGCCATGTGGAGTCCAGCTCCATAACCAGCACGCCACCTTCTGGTCCATGAAAACATCATGTTTTACATCTTAAATATATACAGTTACTTTTAAAGGATGAGTGAGAGATTTGCAAATTAACCTAGATCTGCCTAAGTTCGCAAACTAAACCCCTAAGAGGAGGGAATTCTGGGAGAATAGTGGATACTCAGGAAATAAATGTTGATGGTACACATAGAAATGTGGTACACATCGAAACGTTGATGATACACATAGAAAATTTCCATAGAAATTCTCCGTGGAAACTACATGAGTTCGAACCATGGACCCATGATCAGGATTATTTGATTTTGACACTATTTCAGAAAAGAGGAAAAGAAGAAAAGTGTATGGCCATGGAATCCTTACAATTAACCTTGTATGTCCCTCTTTGTTCTCTCTGTTAAATGGCAAACTCCAAAACTAAGGACTGTACCTTCTCCCTCTCTGACAGCTCTCCACAGAACCCTAAATGGCATGACTTACCAGAGGTCCCTGATTCCCCACATGTGCCATTTGACCTACTTGCTCCCGGAGAAACTCCTGACTCATTTCCTTACTGGTGCTCTGTGCTCAACTAAAGGTCCTAGACGGCCTTTTACCTGTCCCACAAAACTCTTACCGGGAAACGTCACAAGGGGAAGCGCGAATTATTAAAGCTTTCCTAACTACAGACTGGAATCCTGAACGGACTGCTCCACGAAAATCCCTGGTTGTTGGTTCTTCCAAAGTGATTGGGGAAAAGGTCGTGGACGAACCTGTGGACGCCCTGCCCCCAGTACACACACACTCCTGCCTCTGCCCACTCTTTTCTTCCCTAAGCTGTGAACAAGCAAGGAGCCTCACAAGTATCCCTTAGCCGATCATAGAATTCTCCTTTGAAATCCTCCTCTTAGTCCTTCTCTGAGCCCCTAGAGCACCACTAGACCCCTTCGCATAATTCCTTTCTTTCCAGTTTCCCAAGACTACAAACTGAATATTGACACCCCCACCCCCATTTTATAGATGAGAAAATTAAAGATCTAGGGATTTAAGTGACTTGTCAGAAATGTTCAAAGGCAAGATTTAAGTCTAGTTCTGCCTGGGACGTAAGTACTAAGCCCAGGTCCGCCTGGGACATAAGTACTTTCCACTCTGTGTTGCTATCTCCCTATGCAGGACGAGCCGACCTGTACCTGGTGGAACAGTGGCATTTGAGAGAAGGCAGTTTCTTCTGCCACCAGCCCCGATGCGTCTCCTCTCCCCTGCCGCAGCATGCCAGTCATCTTGCAATATGTTTGATAATTCCCATTTGTTCTGCACAGACAAGATTTCCATTATTGTCCAATTCCTTTCATCAAAATTTTTCTTCCCAAAGTGTGAATACAGATTACAAATGCATGGCCAAACAGTGAGAATCAAGCTAATTAAAATTCGCTCCTTACAGTAGAGATGGAAAATTACATTTTAAACAAAGGTCCAGGAGAATTAAATTTTCATTTCACCTTTACTTTTCCTAAGACCAATTAAAAAGTGTTCAATGTACTCTCACTTGTTGATAACAGACTGGTATAGGACCTGCCCTTGGTCTGTGTAATCTAGATTTTTTTATTAACGTATTGTGTAGAAGAAAAACGAAAAGGAATAAAAAGTGAGGGGAGAGAATACTTTAGGTACTCTTTGCTCTCAGCTTGACTTAGGAGTCATTCAACTATAACACCCACATGAATGTATTCACTTACTAACATGCTAGAAGACCTTTGAAGTCATATAGCCTAGTGGTTTTCATCCTTGTTTCCGGCACTAAATCTTCCTTTTTTTTAATGCGAGGGGAGAAAAATGCATGCATAAAAAAGAAAGAGTGAGAGAAAAATCACCCTTCTCCTCCCTTCCCCCCAAAAAAGCCAGTTCCACTACAATCCTTTTTCTCCAACGCTTCAGCACCTCACATTCACAGGTACACACATGGCATGCTTTTTCAAGCCAACCCTACCAGGATTCAAACCCTGATTAACTATGTGGGATCAACATCCTCTGTACAGCTTCTAATCACTGTGCTATGGAGCTAGCTCAACACTAAATCCTATTTTTAAAATATAGCATTACACTGGCACCCAAAATAAACACATATACACATACTTATACACATATGTTTTATATTTTTGTAACATTAAATTTATTTTGTATGCTCAAGTTTATAACATTTACTCATTTAAAGTCAATTGAAACTTTGCATATTTAAAACTGAATCATACCTTGTTTATAAAAACTCATGGTAAAATCAAAGTGACTGTGTTAAACTACAAAGGAAATTTCAAACATTTTCAAAAGTTATGAACAGTGTAAATAATTTTATTTATAATGCAATATAACTAAGACAGACATTGGAGTCAGGCGGTGGCGTAGTGGTTAAGGTGCTGGATACAGTTTGAGTCCCAGACCTAGCAGCTTAAAACTCACTCCTGGCATATGTTCGTGCGTGATCAAAATCCCAGGAGGGGAATGGAAGAGAATGGATTGTGGCATGGCCATCCCCTCTGGAGGGTGATTTCTTGCTTTCTGTCTCTCTGGCGAGTCCACACACCCTATAGCAAAAAATCTCTCTCTCTAAATAAAAAAAAAGAAGATATAGATTGGGGCAAGCAGGTGACATGGTGGTTAAGGCACTAGACTCCCACAGGACTGACTTCAGTATGAGCACCAGATCTGGCAGCCTGAAAATCATGCGAGACACATGTTCATGTATGTCCATAGTCCTGAAAGGAGAATGGAGAAGGGACTGTGGCATGGCCATCCTTCCTGGGGGGTCATTTCTCACTTTCCCTTTCTCTATCAAGCACATGTGCCTTACAGCAAAAACCTAGAAACAAACAAACAAACAAACAGCAAAGGAGATTTCCATTCAGGATACTGAGGCTGTTGGAATTTATAGATCACAGTCATGAAAAAGAGGGATCTCCATGGAGAAAGTTTCAGAAATCTGCACAGGTGTCCTCTTGAGTTTTGGGCTGAATACTAAATGGACATATGGAAGTGAGACTCTTAAGAAGTAGGCAAAGTACAACTACTGAGGAAAGAACAACTAATGGGGGAGGGAGGGTTGTAAGCCAGACAATTCTAAAAGTCACTCAGAGGTGGGAGATATTGAAGTTTCAACCAACCTTAGTGAAGAGAGTCTATCAAACCAATCAAGGATGTTCTAGACCTTAGTAGTAGGACTAAACTAGCCATAACACTAAAGTTACTCTAGATCTTTAACATGGATATTGATCTGAGCTTTCTAACATGGTAGCTGCTAGCTAGTGGTGGGCAGTTAACCTGCTAGCCATAGGTGGGCTAGTCTAAACTGAAATGTGCTATAAGTATAAAATATACACTAGACTATAAAAATTTTATTAAAAAAAGAAATGTAAGTAATCACATTAATAGTTGT